GGATCTTGAGGCTCACTGGTCAGTCAGCCCAGCCAAATCAGTGAGCTAAAAAAAAAAAAAAAAAAAAAGCTAGGACCTTGAGAATGAGTCACTCAGTTCACAGTATCCTTTTTAAAGGATCCATTGTGTGAGTGTGCTACCATTTGACCAATAATCCATCACTGGTACCTTAAACAATGCCACAGTAAACACCCTTCTCACTAAATTTTACACATACCTGTGACTGCTTTATTTGGGATGCCAGACACCAGAATGAGAGAATTGTAAAACATGTCAGAGAAAAAAGAAATCACCTTCCAGGTCCCACCTTCCAGGCCCTACTCCAACAACCAGTAGGTGGGAGTCTCTGTCCCCATAGACTTCCCTCCATCCAGGCTACCCTGCCTGTTATCCATGTAGAAGAACCCAAATATAGGACCAAGGACACAGAGCTATCATTTGCCAGGCCCTGTATTGAATCACTCTCAGTCTGGAGAATTCTTCATGTTTTCTGTGAACCTCAACTGCAAGTCAACGCCCCTCTACATCCCTGCTCTAAAGGCAGTTCGGCTAGAGTGGACGCTGAGTCACACTCTGCCTCCGTATGACACTTGTGTAGAAGACCTGATGGTAGACAGGCATGCTGGTATGAACAAGAGTCAGGAAGTAGTGTTGCTCAGCAGGCTGGCTGGGCACCCTTAGGACTAACTACTTACTGCCCTTCATCTGTCTCTTGGGACTAACTGGGTTCCTCTATAGAGGCAATGGATAGTGACCCTTTTGCTCAACTCCCCCACTAGAGGGCAGTCAATATCTGACTCTATTATAGGAGGCACAGTCCAGGGGTGCAGTGTAGTTGAGACCCTAATAGGCAACCCTCTCCCAATAGGGGATAGAAGCCAATGAACAAGTGAGTAGCCTCTAGCCCTTTGATAGAGCAATTCTAGGGTGCATCTTCCATGAATCTCAGGTAGGACAGAGTTCCGGTTGTATCCAGGGTTAACTTGCTCACTCTCAATCCTTCACTGGTTTTCTGGGTCTCATCTTCTGCTATGTTTTCCAGAATTATCATCTCCTGGAATAATTACACCGCAAACCCTGTCTTGGGCTTGTAGGGAGGACTCACCAATAAATGTGTACTGTTTCCTCCTTACATATTGTTCTATTAGTTAGGTTTTGCTAAACAATTCTAACAAATGAGCCTCAGCATACTTTGCCCAAACACCACAGAAGCCTGTCACCTTCCCATAATAGCTCACAGCATGACTTCAGTGTTCTGGGTCAACAGGGAGGGACTCTGCTTTACCCAGCCACTTGGGGTGCGGGCAGCTCTGCTATCATATGTGCTGTAGCTATCAATCAACGTTTCAGACAGAAAGAGGGTAGGTGTGTTTGGAGAGACACAGGAAAGTACAGGGCAGGCTCAGTAGGGGATCACTTCCTCATGTTCCTTGAGATGGAGACAGTCTTGCGGCTAAGAGAGAGGTGGGAGGCAGAGAGACAAGAATGCATATGAACAGGTCAGACTGCCACGCCCCTCCACCTGACTTCTGGACCAAAACCAACCCGAACTATCAGCGTATCTGCCTTGAACACAGTCAGCTAGCTATGTTACTTTACTTTTGTGATTTTAGGTAACCGAGGAATCAGCCACCTACTACTTAAAGATCAGTTGCTGCAGTCTGCTCTGTCACTGTCTCATGCCCGCTCCGTACTGGTCACCACTGGATTCCCAACACATTTCAATCATGAGCCCCCAGAAGAGACAGATGGCCCACCAGGAGCCATCGCCTTAGCCGCCTTCCTACAGGCTCTGGGGAAAGAGACCGCCATGGTGGTAGACCAGAGAGCCTTGAACTTGCATATGAAGATTGTTGAAAACGCCGTTAAGCAAGGTGAGCAGGGATGTGGGGTCAAGCCATTTCCCCAAGCAGGTCTTCATGGGCGGAGACCGGAGGAAGTCAGTGGGCCGACCTCCAGGCATACACCCAGCTCCAGGATGTATCCTCATAACAGGCTGTTTTAGCTCCAAGCCCAGAACAACTTTGCTATAAGCAACAAGAGTTTCATTTTATAGAAAAGGATGTTGAGGTTCCAGAAGGTCCATGTGATGTACTCAGCCACTGTTGTCCACACGCTGACCAGTGCCCCCCCCCCACCAGTCAGTGCTCTGGAGGCCCAAAGCTATGTGAACCCAATCCAGAACCCCATGACATAGATCTTAGTGAACACTCAAAAGATACACATCCCCTCCCCACTTCCCCTATCCCTTCCCTCAGCTTCTTGGCTCTGTCTCCCGGGAGACCGCCTGCACCCCATCTCAAGCCTTGGCTGCAGGGCAACCAGAATGTTCCAAGAATAGACGCACGTTGTTTGTTCTGTGAAAAAGGAGGCTGAGACCAGTCACATGTGACCTCTGCGGGGACGCTCTAGGGAGAGCACTGTGGGGATAACAGGGACAAAGCTAGGATTTCACCTTGGGGTCCCTCACAAGGAGAAGGGAGAGGAGGCATCAAGGAATCCTAGACGGGCCAACAAGTGAGACCAGAAAACCACAAGACACGTGACCGTGTCAAGCTCTGCTCCAGGGCCAACAGAAGGTGCCACCTGACTCTGCTCTGTGACTATGTTTAGCATTAATTATACAGAGAGGAGAGAGAGAGAGAGAGAGAGAGAGAGAGAGAGAGAGAGAGAGAGAG